TTCATATTTACTGAGATATCGCACTTTGACGCACTAATGAGCAACCCTGTATAATTTCAAAATAGTGAGTTAAAGGTGTTAATTTGAAACATTTTTGAGTGTGCAATAAAAAAAGGAGTGTATGTAACTGAAAACATTGGAACCTAATACTGAGCAATCTCATATAAACAAAAACCAATGCTATGGTAAAGTTTGACATTGGCGATTACAAAAAATAATTCAGAGACAATAAAATTCAGTAATCGAAATTTCGACTTAACGATAAGGTTGTCAAATTTAGGTGATGTTAATGAATAGATTTATACTATAGATTAGTCTCATAATTTGGACATAGATGTTGCTAAGCAACATGACTATTGCTTCGATAGCCAGCTCAAATACATGTAGTGCAAACTTGGCGGTTTCTTTACGGTTATTTTATTTCTGTTTATCGCATTGAACATGAATAGCTTCTGATGTGTGAAAAGCAATATTTCACGTTTGCAGCGAGAAGACATTATTGAAATAGTTTGCCATTTTATTATTGTATGATATATCTGATGTTGGAAATGAGATTTTAGAGCCAGAGAAACTTTTTTGAAGAAACTCTTTTTTCTTAGAAATAACTATAAAATATATATATAAGCGATCGTCTTCAATTGAAAATTAAACTAATAAAAAATTGTGTTTGCTCTGCGTTCTCAAGTTGCTTGAGAAATGAGTAAACTGATCCTCATAAACCAAAATAGAATTCAGTAAACAAATAAATGTCAGCCTCAACCGCCAATGTCCACAATTTTTATTACGATTTGGTACTTAAAATCGATAGCAATTAAATTAAACGGAAAACAATTAAGAGGTCTCCATCAAGGTTTGTCAAAATTGACAACAATCGGAGATCGCAAAAAGTGATTTTCTGCACTTCGAAATTTGAAACAAAAATATTGAGTTCACTGCAAAATTCCATATTGTTATAGGTGCGTGCACACAATAGATAATAGTGGAATTTGTTAACCAATAAAAAGTAGAGCTGATAAATCATAAACCAATATGCGGATAACGATGTTAAAACGTAACCATAAACATTACACACAAAAAAGTTAATAAGTGATAAAATTGCAGAGTTCCTTGGCAAGCAAAAACCATTTCAACAATAGGATACAGCAAAAAAGAAAAGTTAAAAACATACTGATTCAGATGATTACAGCTTCAAATCGATATGGTTTAGTCCGCACCAAGATTGGCCTGTTAGCTGCAATAGACAACCAGGTTCAGGACGTAGATGTTTTTCTTGCTTCAATCAATCTAAATATAAAGTAAACTTTGAGCAATGTAAATAATTAATCTATAAGTAAAGATTCTTCCCGCAGTTGCAAAATTACAGTGATAAATACATAAACATAGGATTAGCACAATTGGCGAAC